AACCAGGTGGTCGGTTTTTTTTATGGGCAGGGTATGGCTCTGACATAAATTCTTCACTGTTTAAATTAGCCACGATTTCTGTTAGACATAAATATCATGCAACATATACATCCAGTACTCAATATATACACTACTGCATGGACTATGAATCTATAATTTGATGGCTACCTATTATCTTGGTCTGCCTATCCTTCAGGACTTGGCTTTTCATCTCACACGAGTAGCTATCTCAGCCTGTATAGGAGGAAAATAGACACAAGACGCAAAATAGAGTTCGAACAGACTTCGTGCATGCAGTTGCACCAATCAACGAACGTGTTATGCTTTATACTTCACTATCTTTCACAAAATTTAACTCTTACTATTTAGTATACCTAAGCGTATATGAACAACACAATGGTCGAATATGGCGGTCTTGAGCCAGTTTGATGAGTTGTATGTGTTACTCTTAACGTCATTTCCGCCTTGCACGCCTGCCAAATTCAGCCTCGTCCTCCTGAACCTAGTGGAAGATGGCCCTTTTCCTGAAGGAACGAACTGCCGATTCCTTGGTTTTGGTAGCGTCGTAGAGTGCCAGAAAGTTCATTTTTATTTAACTACCGAACTCTTTGACAACTGGTATACAACACAATACACCAATACATACAATTTCAGTACAATCATACAGTGGTGTACAACAATACACGTTGACTCAAAACATAAAATAACATAGGATAAGAGCGGAAGCCCAGAGACCTGACCTCTGTCACCGAACGCGGAACATTAACGGAAAAGGTCCCGATAAAAATTAGATTTGATTTAATAATACTTCGACTGAAATCGTCAACTGTTAAAATATAAAATTATATAAAGTTCTCTTCTTTGGATAATATTTGGATGTGTGGCCAGTTCGTTCGATTGTGAATCATATGTCCTTAGGGGCTGCCAGTATTGGCAGGGGCAAGATCAGAGGGTCAGTCACGAAATGAAGATCTATCGAGTTGACCGTGGTTTTCATAAAAACGGACCACTTTTAGGGTGAATCCGGTAAATGTTATGATTAAATTAAACGGTCTGACTTTTTCCTCGGTTAACATCACTTACAGCCAGATGGGCTACATCAATAAAAAGTTATAGCAGGAATAATCTAGGTCGAGGGGGATTGTATAAAGGGGATTCATAACGATCCAAACACTAAGGTGAAAATTATTTGATTCAAATTTAAATTACACATATATATTTTTTTAAACCAGGAAATCGATATTCGTTTTATGCAACCCAATACCCTGTGGATACAAAATGTTTTCTTTCAATTACCCCTCTATATAAAAATCTGTTTACATTTGATGGATTATTCTTTTGTACGATTGTCAAAACTTTTTCATCTTCCTCCAAACAAAAATGTCTATTTATCTCAGAAGATTTCGTTACTTAAGAATAATTCATAACGTGTCAATGCGTGATTTCGCGTAATTTCGTTTTACGAGGTTAAACTCCGACGGAACGGTGTCCAAATGACGAGAAACATGAATGAAGCTTGGGGCGACGGCACATGAGTGGGACCATGTTCAGAGATGGTTTCAAAAATTTCGAGAGGGAGACTTTTTAATTGAAGACGAAAAAGGTCTTAGAGAGACTTCTTCCCTAGACGATGATGTTATATGATCTTTGGTCGATGAAAATCCCAGAACAACTGTTCGAGAATTTGCTGAGAATCTTTCAGTTATTACAGAAACAACAGTTAACTAACTAGGCCATTGGAAAGGGGAAAAAGCTCAAAACTTGGGCTCATCATACATTAAACGTCATCCAGAAAATCACCGTTATAAAGTTTACGCAACACTTTGCCTAAACAGAAACGTACCTTGAATCACATTAACCCTACCTGCTCGTATCTCGAGGAGGTTGGCACAGTACATTATAGATAAGACGATATTACATAGGATATTACAATAATAAACATAAACTACTCATAATTATTGCCTTGAGCCATGAATCTTTTCACAACATACAGATATACAAACATATCCTACATAACAATCACTACCCTAAACACATAAAGTTAATCTTTATTATAGGAAATAAGTTAATCTTTTTATGTAAGGTTTTTGGTTGGAATTAAAAAGTTAGTGTCACGAGCGGGATTTAAAAATGGCAAAAAGAGGGAAAATTCGAAAGGTTGTAGGTTGCGATGGAGAGTTAGTGTCCGAGTGGATCGAAGTCGCGATAGCTCAAGTGGTAGAACAGCGGCGTATTTAGCCGAAGGTCGTGGGTTCGAATCTTGCTCGTGACACTGACTTTTTAATTTCAACCAAAAACCTTACATAAAAAGATTAACTTTTTCCATTGTCGATTCCTTTCACCTCAAAGAAGCCGACTCCTCATATAAAAATTAATTTCTGTCCCTGCTTCCTTCCCCATTTCTTCAAAATCAAACATATATAAAAAAAACCACATTAATATCACAGTAACACTCTCAACACGATACACAACCCTAACACATCTACACAGAAAACGCACACTTTGAGAAAGTACAAATACTCTGCATAAATGAATATTTATGAAAGGTATTGGTTAAGATAAAAAAGTCAGAGTCACGAGCGAGATTCGAACCCACGACCTTCGGCAAAATACGCCGCTACTCTACCACCCGAGCCATCGTGACGCTGATTTTTTTATCTTAACCAAAACCTTTCATAAATATTAATTAATTGAAAAATGTTAATTGGTCAATCGGACCACGAACTGTAATGGATTTAATAATTAAACCGAAGTATATCTTCACGAAACCTCTCCGTGGCCATTTGAATTGTCGCCGAGAATCAAACAGATCACACGACATTTGAAAAATGGCAAAAAGGGTGGAAAATTCAAAAGGTGAAGCTGAGATGGGAAGTTGGTGTCCGAGTGGATCGAAGTTACGATAGCTCAAGTGGAAGAGTAGCGGCGTATCTAGCCGAAGGTCGTGGGTTCGAATCCCGCCCGTGACACTGACTTTTTTATCTCAACTAAAAACCCTAATTAATTGGAAGTATAATTAATTAATTTAGATCAGTATTTCTGTTATGGTGCCCACATCCGGGTCTTTCAGCAATATGAGACACTTTATATCTAAAGTCTTGGTGGAGATTAAAAAGCTAATGTCTCGAGTGGGATTCGAACCAACGACCTTCCGCTCAATACGCCTGCTGGTCTATCCACTTGAGCTATCGCGACTTCGATCCCCTCGGACACCACCATTCGAATTTTGCCTGAAACAACATGAAATAAATAAGCTTTAATTAACATGACATCGGATGAAGTCCCGTCTGTCTGTAATTTGCCTAAAACCAAATCAATACATTTGTTCTTTCTGATTTGAGCTGAGATATACGAGATATAAATCACGGTTTAGTACAACACGTACGTTTTTTCCTTAGATACTGCCATTGTCACACTTGGGACTGCTGCCCAACTGCCTGTCGACGAAGTAGCCAAATATCTCGACTGCCCGTGATCTAGTTTCTAGTTCTAGGCGTTTGGTAAGAATGAGGAGTGGCGATCGGCGGAATAGTGAATACCCCGTACCTTGTAAATTTTCAGTTTTTAAATAGTTTAATATGTATGTATATATTATTGTGAAAGATAAAGAATAACTGTATTTATCTGCGAGAATGATGATGGATGTGTGGGTACGTATGGTGTTTTAGAGCATTAGTGAAGATGTACATTATTTAACTTATTAAATTCACTAGTTACTTAATTGAAAGATATTAATTGGTAAAGCGGACCACGAAAACTAGGGAATTTAATAAGTTAAAATGAAGTACACTTCACTAAAACTCTCCGTGGCCATTTCATTTGTCGCCGAGAATCCAATCCGATTACACGATATTTGAAAAATGGCAAAAAAGGAGGGAAAATTCAAAAGGTGGGGTTGAGATGGGAGTTGGTGTCCGAGTGGATCGAGGTTACGATAGCTCAAGAGATAGAGCAGCGGCGTACCTAGCCGAAGGTCGTGGGTTCGAATCCCGCTCGTGACACTGACTTTTTTATCTCAAATAAAAACCTTAATTAATTGAAAGATATTAATTGGTCACGCGGACCACGAAAACTAGGGAATCAATTATACTTTTTATCTAAGGTCTCGGTGGAGATGAAAAAGTTAGTGTAACGAGCGGGTTTCGAACCCACGTCTCCTTGGGATTTGGTGTCCAAGTGGTTCGAAGTCACGATAGCTCAAGTGGTGAGAGCAGCGGCTTATTACTTTGGTTGTACATTTCAACCAAGACATTAGATAAAAATTATCTCATACTGCTGAAAACCCCGGATTTGAGCACCATAACTGACCCCTGAGCGAAAGACAGATTTAGATTAATTATACTTTTTATCTAAGGTCTCGGTTGATATGAAAAAGTTAGCGTCACGGTTTCCAACCGCGGCCTTTGAAAAATGGCAAAAAGAGGAATATTGAAAAGGTTGTAGGTTGAGATGGAGAGTTAGTGTGCGCGTGGATCGAAGTCGCGATAACTCAAGTGGTCAGAGCAACGACGTATTGAGCTGATGATCGTGGGTTCGAATCCCGCTCGTTACACTAACTTTTCCATCTTACCCAAGACCTCAGCTAAATAGAGAAATTAATTGATATTAATTTAAATGTTTTGATTTTTGTTCTTCTTGTTTCTATCTTTCTCCTTTGACATTTGATAACAATAATATGAGGACGGTGGGGATTTATAATCTCGATTTGTTCCATAATGTGAACGTTCGAACTGACAATGAGGGTGTTAAGTTGTAAAATGTAGAATGGAGGAAGAAAGGTCTGTGAGCAGGGTCGGTTAGCTACCAGGGTAAAAGGTCCTGGAATATGATGTAATGTCATTGTTATGGAAGGGAAAGGTAACACGGTGGGGTGAGTCGGCTGGAGGATTAACCACTTGTAATTCGAGGGTGATTCGATTAGTCGGGTGCGTAAGGGTGGGTTTCCTATAAATCCTGAGTTTGTCGAGGGGGGAGTGCGAAGGGGGCATGGATCGGGATAGGCGTGGTGTCGGGAAGGACCGCCCAGGCGGTGGCCGAGGTGGGAGAGAGGAAAAAGGCGAGGGTAGACGGATACAGCGGAACGGGGACCGTAGAACATTCCATTCGGAAACGCGAGGACGGTACTTCCGCCCAAATGGAACAGCTGACGCAGTTCGTGAGTAAATCTTTCGAAGAAGGTGGTGCCACTTCCGCCGAGGGTTGGGGGGCCGGGTCCTCCAGGAGTTCCGTGTCGCCTCTCGTCGATCCTGAGGATTCCAGGTCGGAGCCGCCCTCCTCACCGGCCGTCCGGAATACCCCGACCACTCCGCCTCCTCAATCATGCACACCCTCAGGTAAGTCGCATGCTTTGTCGACGTGATTGAAGGCGTAGCGCAAACGTATCACTTGACCTGCCCAGTCGAACAATACTTGATAAAATGGAACTGGCAAAGAGGATCCATAAGGTAGATAGACCTCTCCAGTATGTCAGTACTTTTCAAAACATCATAACTTTTTTTTTCAACTGGTAATAATTAATGTGCGATTGATCTGCGATTTTGCACGCATCTTAATTAGAACTAGAGAAGACACAACAGATGCTCCTGATCACAGCGAAAATAAATTGCATATCGGATCAGCATTAATGATATACAGATTTTCTTTCATTCTTATACTAATTAGATGATAATTTATGATCCCTCGACTGAATTAGAAAAGAAATCACAATTATAAAATTATAAAAATAAACCAATAAACCATACAGCATGGTTTATCCAACCCTCCGCCAGAAGTACAGGTCTCGAATTTGATTTAATTTTAATTTACTTTCTATTTTTTAGTATTAAATAACCGGTAGTAGAGAAGTCGTATCAGGACATAAACATGGCTCTATAAGCCAACTAGAAGAGTCCTTTTGCCGATACATATATTTTTTCCCACGTCAAATTAACCATTTTTAAGGTAACGGCTACTGTTTCGAATCTAGTGGACCTGACTTTTTACCTTTTATTTTTTGTTCAATTTCAAATTTACCCTTTTATAAAACATAAAAAAATACGAAATGGTATGAAATAAAAGGGCGTAAAGTTCCTGTAATTTGAGATTTTTTTAACTATACAATAATTGGAAGACTATATGAAAATTAAAAAGTATAAAAAATTAAATGTAAAAAAGGATTTTTTAAATTTGAGAAAATTAAAAAATAAATAAATGTGCCCAAATAAAATATCAAATGAAAATTAATTAAAATTAAAATTTGGTCAAAATTAAATATAAAACACTATCCTTCAAGAATACTTCTATTAACTCCAGGTTAAAAAAAAAAATAAATTCAACTCTATAAATAAGTAATTAATTTTATAATAAAAAAGTAAAATTAATAGATGAGCTTATTTTTATATAATTTAAAAACCTAGGAGCCATTTTTCTCACCAAATAACCCTTTTCAATACCAAATTAACCCTTTCTTTAAAGCATTAAAAAAACTTAGGAGATGGTATATAAATTATATAAGTGTAAAGTTCCTGTGTATTTGAGATTTTTTTAAATATAAATTAATTCGGCCCTTGGAAGGCTATATGAAAATTAAAAAGTATAAAAAAATGGAATGTAATAAAACGATTTTTTAAAATTTGAAAATTAAAAATAAATAACATCGTATGAAAATTAATTAAAATTAAAGGTTAGTCAAAATTGAATATAAAAAAATATACTTCAAAAATATTTCTATTAATTCGCGATTTAAAAAATATATAAATTAAAGTCTATAAATAAGTAATTAATTTGATAATAAAAAAAAGTAAAATTAATAGTATAATAATTTGTTTTTATATTTAATTTTACATATCTTTTAATTTTAATTGTAATCAATTTTCATGTTTTTTGTTTATTTTTATATAATTTAAAAACCTAGGAGCATTAGGTCTATTTTTCGCACCAAATTAACCCTTTTCGATATGAAATTAACCATTTTTAACTTCAAATTAATCTGTTTTAATTTCAAATTAACAGTTTCTTTTAAGCATTAAAATGTCGTAGATGGTATGAATTATAAGCATATAAAGTAAAATTCCATTATATTTCAAATTTATTTTTTAAATATAAAAAAAATGGCTCTTACAAAACACAATTTTTCGTATTTCTTTCACAAATTCAAAACAGATTCCTTTATTTTTATATTTTATTTTATGTAATTCTTAATTTTAATTGTAATAAATTTTCATGCGGTCTTGTAAGAGCCAAATTATTATTATTATTTTATTTAAAAGATATCAAATTAAAAGAAAAATCCTTTATTTTTATATTTAATTGTAATAAATTTTTATGTGGTCTTCTAACAGCTCAATTATTTTATATTGAAAATCTTACTTTACATGCTTATATTTCATACCGTCGCCTATTTTTTTATTTTTTATTAATGTATTAATGAAATGGTTAATGTGAAGTTAAAAAGGTTAATATAAAATTTAAGAAAAGGTTAATTTTGAAGTTAAAAAGAGTTAATTTGACGGAAAAAACCAGCAGAGACAAACATACATCAGAAACTTGGATTAGGCTTAGCGTTCAGTCTGACAAAGTTAAATAAAAAGATGTTAAATAAACATCTTATCACATTTCGCACCTGGAGCCAATTCTCTGTAAAGAGAAAAGTTTTCAGAAGTTACCGCCCGGGAACCGAAGGAAGATTTATTTTCCTATATCATTTTCACATCCACTTGGCGTACTTTTGCTCCGGAGGATTCCAAAATATTGAAAACAACATACTTATTCAACCATAGATGTCCGATCTTTTGCCCAGAAAATCCACTTTATGGTTTTGGTCGCCATTTTCTTTTTTTTGTGATATAATTCAAGTGAAAGTTAATATTGTAGGTTAGATACGGAATCGATTACCGTATCAAAGTGAATAATGTAATTATGGTTACTTGGTAGGTAACCTTTTTACAAACATGTGCAAAACACTCTACCACCGCAAGTTATACATACCACTAGATTGGAGAAGTTGTAGGTGTTTGTTAAACAAAAGGGGTCAGCCGGACATTTGGTAAGCTCCTTAAGCAAACCACTTTCACCCAATAGATCCTGTGGTGTGTGACAATCTTTGAGTAGTTGGCCAATCAATTCATTACTGATAGGGATTGTGTTTTCCTATGAAAGTTTGGGGATGGTTAAGGATGATACACTCAATTATCGATAGTCGCTAGCATCAATATTTTCCTTGTTAAATTTCGGTTCTTTGTGACCTATATTTAGAAAAATAATGTTAGATTTGTTGACCTTTATTTCAATTTAGTACAGCATTCTTGAAGTAAATCGCCGATGGAGAGAGGAGTGCTTTTGGCTTTCTTTTTGAGAGATTTATGAATTAGCTTGCGTCATATTTGGTGCTTTTGTTCAGTAGTTTTTCTTTCTCAAGCTAATTTACCAGCTCTTTAACACACTCTCCTGTGTGCCTGGTTGTGGTCCCTGCCCCTTGGGTAACGGGTAGAGTGCTGCGCCTTTTTGGCTAGTTGGTCAGTCTGTTGTCCTTCTGTACCTTTGTTCCTGACCTAAAGTGAGCTTGTGTTTTCCTAGGGCCATTAGGCCATGTGGTTTTTGCAGTGTAGTTCGGAAATGAAAGCTTACTAAATTAGCGCCTTTAAAGCCGCCTGAGTGTCCGATAGTAAATCTGCGCTCTTTTCATATTCTTCTTTATTAACTCCTGAGCACGGATTTGGACTAGACCAAAGGATTTTGCTGGCGTCTAATTTCGGCCCTTTCCCCATTACACCTACCAAAGCTCCATCTTTGATCCGTCCATTAGTACCCCTTCCTTGGAGTCTGTCAGATTTGCGTTTTCCTCTAATTTAATTCTAATTCTTGAATTATCAGACGGCTTCTCTTTAGATCTAGAAAGCTAGAAGATTTGGTGGTCTATGGATGGAGTCATTCGCAATTGCTTTTTCTATCAGCTCTACAATTTATAGGAACTGATCAAATGCATTAAAACTTTAGCAAAAATCAGTACTAATACTCCTATAAGATAAGGGTGACTGAATAAATTAAAGGAGCTGTGGTACCAATCCGTACCCACCTTAATTTCTACAAACTTTCCAACTAGTCTTCAAGCTTATCCTGGAAGAAAACCCTTATCAAACTGTCAGAGGACTCTCAGCACATCTGAATACAAACGCACAGTTTCAAGACACTCAATAACTTGGAAAAGTCAAAAAGCTCAATTGGTACCTCATGAGCTCACTGACCGGATGGACTTGAAATGCCATGACATGTTTCATCGCTTGCTGAGCAAAAAACAAAGCCCTCTCAAGAAAGAATTACCATTTGTCATTAATTTTTTTATTTTTTTAATCGAATCCGACTCAAATTGAATCAGTTGTTTCAGTTTTGCCCGATCTCCCAAGGTAAACGCGAGCATGTAAGCATTTGAAATTCATTCCATTTCAACTTCTAAGCAAGTTTAGCCTGAGCCTGCAACGTGTGAATATTTAATTATGACAGTTTACTGTAGGGGCCGTTCCGAGCGCGTGATTAATCCGTTTATGTTGTACATAAAAGGAGAGGAGCCGAAGGACGGTTTGAAAACCACGGTAATATTCTTATAGTGATTTATCGCATTTTTCCCTTGAACAGTCGAATGAACGTTTTTCCCGGATAAGTGCGATAAGATTTTAAACTTGTAAAGTTCCAAAGAGCCAAATTTGACTGAGCTATTGGTTCAATATCAATTAATAAAAAACGCTATTTGTGTGTATTTTTTAGTGACTAGTTGTTCAATAATTTAGTGAAGTAATGAGGAGCGATCGGGAATGAACTATGTGTAATTAATCTGTGTTTCTGAATGTTATTTCCCGGATTTTCTAACGCAGTATATTGTTACACCAGGGAGTGGTAGTAAAAATGAGGCAAATAATTATAGACCTATAACTCAAATCGGGCTCTAGTGAGAAATTTTGTTTCCGAGATGGCATTGGTATTGTCGATAGCCAACCTCATAAAATGTGTAAACTTTGAAAAAAATCAACACGTACAAATTGTGACCACTCATCTCAGTAAAGCTTTTGACATAGTGTCAAAACATTCTGTTCTGTTTGACAAGTTACAGGCTTATTGAGTAAGGGGTGTTGCCCTTGACTTATGTAAAAACTTCCTAGATAGATATCAGTGTGTTAAATGGGTCTAATATCACTAAAACTATCAATAGAACATGGTGTACCTCAAGGCTCACAATTGGGCTCGCTCCTATTTATAATATATGTAAATGATCTAAAGAAACGCATTGCTCCTGATATCGAAAATAATATTCATAAGTCGCCGAGAATCAAATCCTGATTACACGACATGGCAAAAAGAGGGA